TGTACATTAGCTCATATCAGCCTCCTAAAAGTCCTACGAAGCAGGAACTACAGATATTATAACTAACATTTCACAAATGGGGAAACAGACTCAGACATGAGATGACTTGCCTCTGACCACACAGCTAAATGGATTTGCACTCAGGTCTCTTCTGATTTGAAGTCCAGACCTTTTTCTACTCTGCTTCCTTTTTACCTTTCCTGAGTCTTTTGATTAAGATATAACCTTCCAGTGTCATATTCTGGTCACAGGTCTCATTCCACTAATTAGGTGTTCATTTTAATTTAGTGAAGCATTATGATTATTCATTAAAATCTGATAGACTAGGGTTATAACTTCAAGTTTTCTCACATATAAATTGAGGGAACTGCATTGTATGATCACTAAGGTCTCTTCTACTTTTAAAATTCTGAGCCTTTGAACATTAGCTAACAATTCTATACTTACTTAAAAAGATCCAAATAATTTTATAGGAAAAATATGAACCTCAAGATATACAGCAACTTGTAACTATATATTCACCCAATACTCTACATAACTACTTTAAATATATTGTGAATGATCTATTAAACTGCTATTAAGTCAAGCAGTGATTGAGCAAAACAGGAACAATGTTATTGACAAAACCAGGACTAAAACAAAGGTCTCCTGACTCCCACTCTAGTGTTTCATTTGATCAAGCCAAGAAAGTTTTATCTTTAAGACAAAGAAACAGGAATGAGTGTTTTTTCTTAAGAAGGGTATCTTAAAATAAGAAGAAACAAAGATTCCAGAAAAACAGTCATGAGGAATTCACCAAATATTACAGCAACATGTTCTAGTTTTTGATTTGTTATGCAGATTTTCTTAATACTGAACCAAAAGCTGCCCTTCTGTCATTTCTAATCACACAAGCAGAAATCCAACTTTCTATGTTGAAACAGAAAATGAAAAAAGGTCTTTAAACTCGGTGGAGAAAAGAGGGAGGTTTGATGTACATACCACTTTTCCCCTTTGTGTGGGTAGAGCAGACATTTCAATAATTCTATTAGATTTCTGTAGTGGGAAAATATCTGATAAAAGACTCATTGTTACTTGCTGCCTGAACAGAGAATTATAAAAGGCTCAGCTCCTCCTTCCTTTTCTTATTTACAATGCAAACTACACTGAATTAGGTACTTTTGTTACAGTGTTGCTATTAAATGGACTAGGACCAGATAAAACATATTGTACAAGATAATTTGCCAATAATAATTCATTGTAACCAAGTTAACAAAATGCTAGGGACTACACCCCATGAGACACAAAATTCACTTCATGCCTTTCTTTTGTGACAGTACTTATTATAAATGGATTTTATCTGTAATATTGTTATTCCAAAAGGCTTCAAAAATACTTTGTTTTCACAACTACCCTGCAAAAACAGGGGCAGAGCTATTTTTTCACTTTAAAGATGGAGAAATCAACACATATGTTAAATGTTGTATTATCTCAAGATTACAGTTTTATAGCAGAACAAGGACTGAAACTACCTAGACATTTTGCCTTTTAGTTCAGTAATAATCCTGCAAAAACCAAAGTTACCAGTTAAAAGAATCACAGTATCACCAGTTCAAAGTTAAAAGGGAGTTCAACAGCCAGTCTATACTCAAAAGGAGTCTAGGCCAACCTATATCCAAAAGGAATCCCTCCAAAATAACACACCCAAGTAAATATCCAGTTTCTACTTAATACCTTGAAGGAGGGATAACCCAACCACCTCTCAAGGCAGTCTATTCCAATTCTGGACTGCTCTAATTGATAGAAAGTTTTTCCTCTATTACTATACAGGCTTTTAACACAAGGGTATATGTTCTTTTTATAACACCATGGTGAATTCTGTTAAGAGTACAGTTTTCATTAGTTAAGGTCTTGAAAGAAAGTGACTGAACATTGTAGTACATGAAAGTAAGAAATAAGTAAGGAAATCAGAGAAACTTAGCACAACTTATTATGAACTGATACAGAGCAAAATAAGCAGAACTACAGCTTGATGACCTGAATAACGTGAAAGAAAACAATATCAAGACTTCAGAATTCTGACCAATCAGTGTCCAAATGGGACTCCATAACACTGATACTGCCTTCTACATCTCTAGCAGAGAAATTGTGTTACACAGGTACAGAATAAGGCAAGCATTTGTAGGCATGGACAATGTTCCACTATATATGGCTTGACTGTATTTCAGGGTTCTACTGAAAACAGAAATGATTTTTTGAAAAGTATCAATAACACATATAAAGGAGAAAAAAGGTATAAGAACCTGACAGAAAAGTAAAAATCAAATTTTCTCTAATGTGATGTCTAAGTCACTTATTAAGTATACAGAATGGGGCTTAGAAAAATTAGTTGTTGGCCAGCCCTTAACCATTTCCGGGAACTTTAACAGGGACCTTTCCCACCTATATAAGTTAATAGGGAATCCATGGTGATAAGAGTCCTAAAGGGCATAGGGGGTTCCCTGTCAGCTAAAAAGCATTAGTATTTTCACTGCTAGCTACTTCATAAAGCATAGTCATTACTTGCTAAAGTACTTTCTTTGTTCTCTTTAATCACAGCACTGTCCTAAATGAAAGAAATTGTCAATACATTGTTCATAGGATTTTAGAGGTTTAAAGGATATTATTATCTGATCTGAAGCATAAATTGCTTTCTTCGCAATATCCCCAAATAATTAGCCAGACTCCAAATGTTTATCTATCTCCAGTAACAAGAAAGGCAAGATTTTATAAGACAGTTAAGCTGTTTCTATACTGAAATGTATGTCCCTGTAAACTCATTAATTTTAGCTCTGCAAAGCTCAAATAATTTTTATCCTATTGTTTTTTATCTCATTGTGTTTTGCTAATTCTTTAGATTTAGTCTGATGACAACTGAACTAAAATAGGAAAAAAAAGAACCAAACTTGAGCCAGAAGAAACATGAAACAAGTGTAAGAGGCAATGAAGTATTGGGGGGGGGGGAGATGGCATGATAAACGTGAATGAACAATCATAAGAAGCTAAATAAATTGCTTATAGTCTAATATGGGGAAATAATATATGTGTTTTTTCTGAACCCTATCATTATCAGGTCTCACAGAGGGAATCTAATTAGAAAGAAGATCTGGGAGTGGTTCTGTTAAGTCTTAATGATCTTAAAAGAACAACTGAAAGGAAGGGGGAAAGGAATATACTAGGGGAGGAAAAAGAGAAGATTGTTAGGGGAAATTATCTCACATAATCAAGGTGTGCAAGTAGAAAAGACTATTCAAACAAGGAGAAAGCCTTGGGGGAGTAGCTGACACTTGAACATCACTCTCTGCACAGGTTAAAGGAGGAAAGAATACACATACACACACACACACAGTAGAGTAGGGTAGAGAAATACATTTCACTCAACATGGAAATAGTAGGGAAAGCAGAAAAGGAAAAAGAGGATTTGGAAAGAGGGTAGATTAAGGGAGAGATTAATCCTAAATAAAACAAACTAAAGAGATACAAAATATTTACAGCTCTTTTCTGCGGTAGCAAAGTACTGGAAACTGAGGGGGTGCCCATAAATTGAAGAATGGCTATATAAATGTGATAGAATTAATACTGTGCTATAAGAAATGATGAAAGAGATGGTATCAGAGGAATGTGGGAAGATTTATATGAACTGGTACAGAGCGAAGTAAGGAGACCAAAGAGAATGACAACACTGTAAAGACAAAGAACTTTGTTTTTCTCCTTGTTTCTGCAGTCCTTAGCACTTAGTAGCTAGTATACATTAAGTTATATTCTTAATGAATAAACTAATATCCCACTAACCCCTCTTCAAAATTTTCCTATGCTTCTACTTTTCAAGCTTTATACAAATGCCCAATTCCTCTTTTTAAAGTTACATTTTTACTTTCAATTATTAAGCATTTTTTCTCACTCTCAACATTAGCACAATTTTCTTATATCTCTTGCTTTTTTTGCCTTTTATAAGTCTGGAATTCATTATCATAGGTTTCTTTGTACAGTATAGCTAGACGTGTTGTGCAGCCACATTACCAGTATATTAGTTACCACTGAACTATACTACTTGGGATATTTTCAGCTTAACACTCCCTGAAAATATGATGTGCTTGGCCCTCAGGAGTTAACTGAAATGATATGGATCAAACTGCCCTCTCACTCTCAACAGATCTCTGGATGCTGTGCCTACAGTACTGCCCAAGGAGGTCTTTGAAGTCCTACACTGCAGGGCTGCTGTCAGCCCTTCTCACCTCATCCAGGCTGCAGAGCAGTTGTCATTTTCCTCTGTTGTTGTTGTTTTTTTTCTAGTTGTTTAACTCTTCTACAATGTCTGCTGTTTGCCATCTCCATGACTGCTGCTTCTATTTTGGTTTACTGCTCTCTTCCTTCTTTTTTCTTTACTTTTTGCATTCTATCTCTTCTGAAATTACTTTCTGTAGACTTTTATAGACTTGCTTGTATACATGCTATATCTTCCCAGTGCGCTTAATTTTCTTGGGGCAAGGACTGTTTGGTTTTGGTCTTTTTACATCACTGGTACCTACACCATGGTGCCTTAAGCAGAGTAGGGGTTAAATACAGCACTGAACTAGAGCTGAGCAGCCACTGACAACTAGAAATGCCCTCTCTTTCCTATAACTTTCCCCACATTTCTTAGCTTAATTGCAAAAGAAACTATTAAAGTCAGCACCAACTGATGAGATGTTTAAAGGTGCTGGACCATCTGACCTCCAGCTAATATATAGGCACATGCTTTTCTGAGCAGTGGTGACATGGCACACCAAAAACTTAACTGATCAATTTATGAACTATATAACAGAAGTTCCTTTTCTGTTTTTTCTGTTTAAGTGAAACACAACCAAAATTCTAAAAGATACTTGAAAAAACAAACTTGTGCAGCATCTTTAAAAACCATTAAATTAATTGAGGGTCTTATGACAATTGAAAAAGACAGCAGTTATACATTTAGCAAAATGGATAAACACACTTTACAATACCTTTTAAAGTTTCTGTTTCTATGTCTACTAATGGCTTCCCCACAAGGGCAATCTGATCTACACCATAGTAGAGTTTTCTAATGATACCATCATAGCGACTAGTGATGGTAACAGAAGCTTTATCACTTTGTACTTCACAGATGCTATCAAACTGAGACACAGTATCTCCTTCTTTTACATACCTAAAAGGAAAAATATAAAATCACATAAACAATTTAAAATACAAAAACATCCTAATATATATATATGCTATATGAGGTCAGATTGATAAGCTATCCCACTTAGTATGCTGTCTCTCTGAGAGAACAGCTTTTTTGCACAAGACTATGGATGGCATCCATATCAACCCCAGAAATCTACAACTATATCCCAAACATCCCTAATCAACCTCAAAACCAAGTATCCATTAATTAACCTAAGTCTTTTTTTTTTAAGGGAGGCAATTGGGGTTAAGTGACTTGCCCAGAGTCACACAGCTAGGAAGTATTATGTGTCTGAGGCTGGATTTGAACTCAAGCTCCTCCTGATCCCCAAGCTGGTACTCTATCCACTGTGCCACTTAGCTGCTCCTAAGTCTTTCTTAAAACTAGTTTCTAAACTAAAATTATTTTCTATTCTGTATCAGTTTCCTTATCTGTAAAATGAATGGGTTAGAATTGATAACCTCCATGTTGTCTTCAAGTTCCAAATCCTTTGGTTCTAAGATCTCTTAAGAAAATGGCTTCCATAGATACACATGCAAAGTAGCTCTTCTTTTTATCTTACATTTATGTCTATGAACTTTCAAAGGGTGCCCTTTAACTTACACAATTTTGGAATCTATTCAACAAACTCATCTTCCCTATCCATGCCCTTTCCAATTTTGCATACTTCAGTTAGACTCATTTTGAGTTTTTTACCTTTCCAGACTAAAAAAAAATTAGGACAGCAGGGTAATATGGGGGGTGGGAGTGATCTAGTTTCTCAAATTTTTCCTATTTCCATATCTTAGTATCCTCAGCAAATGTGTTAAGTATGAGGAAGTAGGTTTTGTTCTACTTTATATTTTTATTTATTTTTGGAGAGAGAGGGAAAGATGAGTTTTAAGTGGGAATTTTTGCATCTAAATAACTTTCAAGATGATTACAACAAGAATGTTACAACTTTATATAAATAAACTCTGTCAGATATAAGATAAAACAAAAGTAGTTGTCATTTCAGTACAGGCTACACTATAGACTTTAGTAACTTTTTCACTATCAAGTTGATAAACCTCAGGTTTGAGTACAAGTCTTAGGTCTTCATAAATGCTTATTCAAAAATACCTAAATAGCTACATTGTTATTAGATACTGAATTTCTCAGGGATTCATTTCTACCTTCTAGGGATTGAGGGCATGTAAAGAGGAATACATAGAGAAAAAAAGTTTGAGAAAACAAAAAAGGACAGACACAATAGGCAGGTTTTCAAATAACTATGTCAAATTGCCATTTTATGCCACCAAGCATTTTGCTGGATTGGGACAGCTAGGCAGGACAGAAGATAAAGTGCCAGGCCTGGAGTCAAAAAGACTCATCTTTCTGAATTCAAAACTGGCCTCAGACACTTACTACCTACCTGTGTGACCCTGGGCAAGTCACTTAAACCTGTGTACCTCAGTTCCTCACCTGTAAAATGAGCTGGAGAAGGAAGTGGAAAATCACTCTAGTATCTGTCAAGAAAACCCCAAATGGGGTCACAAAAAGTTGGACACTGAAACGACTGAACAACAACGTATTGCTGGAACTAGTTCTATACGTTCAGTTGAAAAGGCTATTTTCTTTATAACAGGTGGCAGCTCAGTGGCACAGATTTGGAGTCAGGAAGTCCCGAGTTCAAATACTTTTTTTTTTGATGAGGCAACTGGGGTTAAGTGACTTGCCCAGGGTCATACAGCTAGTAAGTGTCAAGTATCTGAGGTTGGAGTTGAACTCAGAGCCTCCTGACTTCCAAGGCTGGAGCTCTATCCACTGAGCCACCTAGCTGCCCCTCCGAGTTCAAATTTGACCTCAGACAATTACTAATTGGTATGACACTGAGCAAGTCATATAATCTCTGTTTGCCTCAGTTTCCTCACATGTAGTATGGAGTTAAGAGTAGCACCTAATTCCCAGGGTGGTTGTGCAGATTAAATGAGACGACTATAAAGTGTTTAGCACAGTGCCTGGCACACAGTACACACTATATAAATGTTAGCTATCATAATAATAATAGTTATTAATCAATGTAAAGATAAACCCTGTTTATAATTATTCAAATGATTATCTTCTTTTATAAGTATTGAGTTTTTTGGCTATTGGGGTTAAGTGACTTGCCCATGGTCACACAGCTAGAAAGTTTGGTCTGAGGCCAGATTTGAACTCAGGTCCTCCTGACTTTAGGGCTGGTGCTGTATCCACTGCACCACCTAGCTGCCCCAAGTATTGAGTTTTTTTCAAGAAAAAGGTTTCATCAACTTACCATTCTTTAATTGTCACTTCTGTAATCCCTTCTCCAATGTCTGAGAGTTTAAACTGAAGGATCTGTCCATTTACAGCTTCAAAGAAAAGAAACCATCATAAATGTATACTGCATACACAAATACATTAACACCTTTTTTCCTCAAAGATTTCAGAATGCTTTCAAGTCTAACATCTGATTATATTCTCAAAAGATCCCACAAGGTTGGAAAGGGAGGAAATTACCATTTTTTTACATGTGAAAAGCTTCAAGAGTTTGCTTAAAGACACATAGCAAGTTGCCAAAACAACAATTAGAACCATGTGGCCTGACTGACAGCACGGTATTCTTTCTATGTAAGGCCCATCCAACAAATTAATAGTTTCATGAATCAACGAATAGTCTTCATATAGTCAAAGAAAGGTGATAATGACTTGCTAAGGGAAAACTGTACGAAACGATAGCAAATGCCTAAAGAAGCCTGCTTCTGGCTGCTTTTTTGTGCAAGCTGGATTGGAAGATGTCACTTACTGTAGTTTCTCATTCGATTTCTTGAGGATTATTTGGCCTGGTGCCAACTTCAGGGCTTTGTCAAAGTATCTGTGTGGGAGCTGAGAGGCTGACCTCTCATTCGGGCAGGCAGTCTGGCCAGAAGTGCTTTCTTCCCTTTCCCTTGCATCTCAGCCCTCCCATCTCACACATCAGGAAGCAGTTCTAGTAGTAAAGACCGGTGGTCTTTTCAGGCTCAGGGAGGCCGTTTGGTTCCTCACCACCTGAATATTAAAAAGACCTAGCCAAGGAGGAACTGGCTACAGAGAATACACCTGAGTTCTGACAAGTGAGATAACTCTCCTGAGAGTCTTGGGGGCAGGGATGGGGTGGACAAATAAGAGTAGCATTTTGTATCCTTTTAACTTAGAATTTGATTCTTTTAACGTCTCAATTAGTAAAATGGTTTTTTAAAATTATATGCTCTATGAGTGACTCAGTGCATTTTAACTCCAAAGCCTGAATTACTATACAGGCCTGGGTTAAGTCTTGCTCATAACACTCTGTTATCCAGTATATTAGCTATTCCTCTTACTATACCAATTTGTTCTTTTCTTTTTTTTTAAGGCAGGTGGGGTTAAGTGACTTGCCCAGGGTCAACACAGCTAGTAAGTGTCAAGTGTTTGGTCTGAGGCCGGATTTGAACTCAGGTCCTCCTGACTGCAGGGCTGGTGCTCTATCTACTTTATTATACCAATCTGAAAAGCATGCCGGGGTCTCCAATTCATCATGTTGTGGAAGACCAGGAAACATGGCAGTTCCACCCAGACAATATGTCACTCAAGCCCAGGACCTGATTGCTCAGTATTTGTCCTTAGAATGGAGAAAACTGTACAAAAAAAATACCATCTGCAACGGGTCAAGTTCAAACAAAGTCTTCTTTATATAACAACATCATTATTTAAGGCAGGAACCACTCTTTGGAGAGTCTCCTTGGGAGACAGTTTCCTTAGCTCTAATAGTAGTTTTGATTGGTATGGAGAAAATTCCTGCTAACTGTTGTATTCCCCAGAATCATCACCATGCAGGAAAGGAGCACCATGAAGAGCAGCTGCTGCTAATGGTCACCTTAAGACAGCTAACTTCTATTCAAGTGTATCCTTAAATAAAACCCATGCAAACAAACCAATCGGGAGTGTGCTCCACTTGTCAGATTATTAACTGAGTAGCTATTCCTAAAATACTAAAATGTAGTTCCTAAAAATGAACATAATATGCTAGAGATGGTCTGAACAGGACAGAATATACCAAGACTAACACATTCCTGGTCCTAGAACTAGCTCTCTCTTAACAGCCCCAAAAATGAATTAGACAGCTAGTCAAGTAGCATTTATTAAGCACTTACTATATGCTGCCTTACTATGTACTAAGTGCTAGGATACAAAGAAAAGCAAAAAAAAGAACTTGCCCTCAATGAGCTCACACTGTAATGGAGAAGACAATGTGTGAAAATTGTGTACTATATATAAAAGGTAAACACAGATTAGACTGGAAAGCAAACTGAGAGGGAAAGGCATTGGCACTGGGGGCACCAGGCTTCCTACAGAAGGTGAGACTCGATCTGAATCTTGAAGGAAGACAGGGAAATCATGAGCTGGAAGTAAGGAACCAAAAGGCATGGAGGAGAGACGTTTCAAACGCACAAAAAGAGGAGGTGCAGTGCTCTAGTCAAAACTGCAGCAACCACTGTGGTGAAGGCAGCCTCCAAGATGAGAAGGTGCTGCAAATAGAGGAGAAGGAAGTCTGGAAAGTCAGGAGCAGGGCCCAGAGAATACTATAGATATAATTTATATAGATTTTAGCAAAATATTTGATGAAGTCTCTCATGGCATTCTTATAAAAAAGATGGGAAAGTATTTTATAAATGATAGTACAATTTGGTGAATTTGGAACTAGTTGCATGGCCACACTGAAAGAGCAATGACTAAATAGGCATTTTACTGTCCTTTCGCTGCTACAGATGCAGATTCTCCCTTTGCTACAAACTACATAGTAAATATGAGATAGCCATTTCACAATTCTGTTTGATTCTCAGAGTGAAAGAAGGTCAGAGTATGGAGGGTTCATGTGAAGGCAACTAACCCCCAATATTAGAACAACTGAGAGAAAATGGAACAATTATCTTATTTACTGTTACAAATTCTAGGTTCTTTAAAGCACTCTGAAGTGCTTGGAGGAAAATAAAACACTCAAATATATTATATGTTTCCTGCTAAAGTCCATACTTACTACTAGTTGTTCTCAATAACCGATGTGGATGACTAAACTTGAAAGAAGAATAACCAAAGAGACATGTATATTTTGGCTTCACAACATGAACACTACTGCACATTTGAATATGATGAACACAACTCTAGAGGAACAAAAAGAAAGTTAAATTTTTGTAAAAATTATACCGACAGGTTTTTATCAAATACATACTTTAGTGTTAAGTTTATTTTAAATTAAAAGAGACATTAAAAACTAGTTAGTTACATAAAGAATTGGAATGTGCAGCAACACAGCAATAAAAACCATCCAACCTATGCTGTTTTTTTATCAGCCACTTAGCAATAATAGCTAATTTCATTCATATTTGTATATTTTCATAAGGATTTCTATATAAGCATGTAAGACTGCTCCAACCAACATAATTTTATAATTATTATTACTATGACATAAGCAAACAATACTACAAAAGATCATTTGGTGAATTACCCACTTAAAATGGTGTTCCTAATTTCTCCCTCCCCTATAACACCATTTGACCTAACACTGTATTTTTAATACCTTTATATGAAATCAATAAAAGTAGAAATACTTACCTAGTCCAGTGAAGAGATTTAGGTGGCCTATTTAGTACAGATTCCTCCTTACAATTAGATTTATTCCCTTACTTAATCACAACTCCTTAGGTATATTTTTATTTTGTATATATATATATAATACACATATATATAAAATATATATTTGATATTTTTAAAGTACATTTTTATAATGTTCTGTATAATACAAAATTAGCAAGAAATGTTAAGATTCAATGTAATGAATGAAAAAATGAATGATCAGAAGTTGAACTAGATAATCTCTAAGGTCTCTTTCAGTTCTAAAAACAATAATTATAGTGCCTTACATTTGTACATTGCTTTCAAGCTTGCAAACTACTTTATTTATATTATCTTATTTGATCATCAGAACTCTGTTATGTAAGTACTACAGACATTATTATCCTATTCATAAAAGAGGAAGCTGAGCCCCAAAAAGGTTGACTTGCCTGACTGGGTCCAAGCAGGTGATTACATCATGATGCCTATGACTTGGTTAAAATGTTTTATTGTTATCCTGATAGATTTTCTTGCTGTAATTTAAAGTTATAACAATTACTTAATCATGATATTTGAGTAGAATCACTGAGTTTTAAAGGTGGAAGGGACTTTAGAGATTATCTAGTCTAATGGAGGCTTTTATAATGGATAATAAAATTAGTGAACAAGTATTTATTAAGCAACTACTATTCCAGTCACTACGCTGGACATTCAGGATATAAAGACAAAAACCTCCACAAGGTATTTATTTATATTCCACTTCAGGAAGTAACATGTACACATGAGTAAATGCAAAAATGTATACAAAATTATTAAGCAACTACTATTCCAGTCACTACGCTGGACATTCAGGATATAAAGACAAAAACCTCCACAAGGTATTTATTTATATTCCACTTCAGGAAGTAACATGTACACATGAGTAAATGCAAAAATGTATACAAAGACAAGGAGAGGTAATGAGGTGGGAGGACAGAACAGGAGGTGCCAACAAACAAGAAAGGTTAAATAATTTACCCAGGTCAGGTCATGATAGCTGATTAGTAGCAGAACTAGGACTAGAATCCTGGTCCTTTGAATCTCAGGACAGTGTTCTTTCCATTACACCAAGCTAGCCTGTTTTTGATGTAAGAGGGGTGTGTCCTATATCCCCCACCCACCCACCCACCCATCCACGACATATTTTTATCAGGTGAGAAAGCCTCTTTTGCATTACAAAACCTACAACGTAAAATCTGGAGTTACAAATCAATATATATAAAATTGGTGTGAATAACACAGATACCCTTGAATCAAATCAAAGGGATAAAATAGGTGCAAAAAAGCCCTTAATCAATTTGGAAGGAATGAAATACTTATTATGTGAAATGAGATAATGCTAGACGGGAATGATATTGGGACTGGATGAAGAAAATCACTCACATCCTGTGGGGCTTGTATAAAACAGTAAGCTACTTTCAGAGTACAGCATCCCAAAAGCAGGCCAGCTTTGGATGGCATAATTCCTGCCAAGCTTTTTTTTAAAAAAAATTTATTAATTTATTTTTAGTTTTCAACATTCACTTCTACAATATTTTGAGTTCCAAATTTTCTCTGCATCTTCCCCATCTCCCCCTGACCCCAAGAAAGAATGCATTCTGAATACCCCTTCCCTTGATCTGCCCTCCCTTCTATCACACCCCCTTCTCTTATCCCCTTTCTCTTCTATTTTCCTGCAGGGCAGGATAGATCTCTATACCCATTACCTATATATCTTATTTCCCAGTTGCATATGAAAATAATTTTTAATATTTGCTTTTGGGTTCCAAATTTTCTCCCTTCCTCCCTCCTCACCCACTGTCATTGAGAAGGCAAGCAACTCCATACAGGTTATACATGTGCAGTCATGCAAAACACTTCCATAGTAGTCTTGTTGTGAAAAACTAACTGTATTTCCCTTCATCCTATCCCATTCCCCCCTTTATTCTAGTCTCTCTTTTGACCATGTCCCTCCTCAGAAGTGTTTGCTTCTGATTACCCTCTCCCCTAATCTGGCTTCCTCTCTATCATACACCTGCTCTCTTGTCCCCTTCCCCCCGATTTTCCTGTAGGGTAAGACAAATTTCCATACCCAATTGAGTGTGTATGTTATTTCCTCTCACCTTCCCCCTCTTTCCCTCCACTGTAAAAGTCTTTTCTTGTCTGTTTTGTGTGAGGTAATTTATTCCATTCTACCTCTCCCTTTCTCCTTCTCCCAGTGTAACCCTCTCTCATCCCATAATTTTATTTTTTAGATATCACCCCTTCATCTTCAACTCAGCCTGTGCCTCTATCTATCTATCTATCTATCTATCTATCTATCTATCTATCTATCTATCCTTATAATTTTTTCCCCTCCAACTACCCTAATACTGACAAAAGTCTCATGAGTTACAAATATCATCTTTCCATGTAGGAATGTAAATAGTTCAACTTTAATAAATCCCTTATGATTTCTCTTTCCTGTTTACCTCTTCATTATTCTTGAGTCTTGTATTTGAAAGTCAAATTTTCTATTCAGCTCTGGTCTTTTCATCAAGAATGTTTGAAAGTCCTCTATTTCACTGAATATCCATTTTTTCCCCTGAAGGATTATACTCAGTTTTGCTGGGTAGGTGATTCTTGTTTGTAATCTTATCTCTTTTGCCCTCCAGAATACCATATTCCAAGTTGTCTCATCCTTTAATGTAGAAGCTGCTAAATCTTGTGTTATCCTGTGTTTCCATGATACTTGAATTGTTTGTTTCTGGCTGCTTGCAGTATTTTCTCCTTGACCTGGGAACTCTGGAATTTGGCTGCAATTCCTAGGAGTTTTCCTTTGGGGATCTCTTTCAAGAGGTGATCAGCAGATTCTTTCAATTTCTATTTTGCCCTCTGGTTCTAAAATATCAGGGCAGTTTTCCTCAATAATCTCCTGAAAGATGGTATCTAGGCTCTTTTTTTGATCATGGCTTTCAGATACTCTAATAATTTTTAAATTATCTCTCCTGGATCTATTTTCCAGGTTGGTTGTTTTTCCAATGAGCTATTTCATACTGTCTCCTATTTTTTCATTCTTTTGGTTTTCTTTTATAGTTTCTTGATTTCTCATTAAGTCATTAGCTTCCATTTGCTCTACTCTAATTTTTAAGGAAGTATTTTCTTCAGTGAGCTTTTGGACCTTCTTTTCCACCATTTGGCCAATTCTGCTTTTTAAGGCATTCTTCTCCTTATTGGCTTTTTGCACCTCTTTTGCCAGTAGGGTTAGTGTGTATTTTTAAGCTGTTATTTTCTTCAGTATATTTGGGGTCTCCTTTCTTACACCACTCTCACTTCTCTTCCCAGTTTTTCCTCTACTTCTCTTACTTGTTTTTCAAAATCCTTTCTGAGCTCTTCTATGGTCTGGGACTGATTCATATTTTTCTTGGAGGCTTTGGATGTAGTAGATTTGACTTTGTTGTCTTCTTCTGGTTGTATGTTTTGATCTTCTTTGTCACCAAAGAAAGATTCTATGGTCTGACTTATAGCCCCAGGGCTGCGCCTGGACTGGGGTCAGAGCTCTTCTCTCACCAAGGTCTCAGACCCTTCTTACTGACCTTCTAAGTTGTCTTTGGTGTTTGTGGGTTGAGAAGTCTGGAAACTGCCACAGCTCCCGTTGATTCAATTCCCTGAGGCCTGCTCCAGATTCAATGAGGCCTGGTCTTTGCCTGCTGGGCCTACACTGAACTGCACTCCTCTCCCAGCACGGTGCAATAGACCTTTCCAATCAACCATCCAGATTGTCTTGGGCTGGAAATTTGTTTCACTCTATCTTTTTGTAGGTTCTGCTGCTCTAGAATTTGTTTAGAACCATTTTTTACAGGTATTTGGAGGGGTTTGGGGGAAAGCTCAAGCAAATCAATGCTTTTACTCTGCCATCTTGGCTCCGCCCCCTTGCCAAGCTCTTGAAAGGGAATTGTTGAGGAGGGTAGAGAGGGAGTTTCTGTCTCCTTCCCTTCCCTCCTTTACCAGAGGATGACCTTGTGAAGTTCAACAGGTCAGAAGATTTGAGCTTCCCATTGGCAGGCATTCTTAGCATTGCCCTGGAACAGTAGTGGCCAACAGTAAGCATTTGCACTGGGAGCCTAGGACAAATCAGACACACTTAGGGAAGGCAACCTCAGGGCTCTACATCTAGTGGGAGAATGTGACAAAGAATCTGTCACCCTTAATTAAAAAAGCTAAGTAACTTTAGCCAGTTAATTGATATCAACTGAATAATCAATGGTGGAATAGAGAGGCACACTGTTGGGAGCTCGTACTTAACAAAACACCATCCCTAATTCCCTGAGGGAAAGAGTAGTCAGCCACCCTCTGGGGATCTAGCCTGACAATGTTGTGGAAGTTGGAAGGGTGAACCCAAAGAGGATGTCATTTTTTAAATGCAATTTTTCTTTATGAATAATCCTGAAGGTTTTTTCATTATATTATAGAATGCAAAATTCACTACAATACTTATAAAATTACATATACTTATGTTTCATTATCAAGACACTGGGAAGTCTATAAACATAAAAGTATTAATTAAAACAACAGTGGCAAATATATACTAATTAAAACAATGACAGATACATAGACAAAAACATGGTCAAAACTCTTGGGTCTCTCATACCACCTGTTGGACGAGGAAGTGAGCTATTTTATGATGCGTACTCTGACTTCTCTGGAAAAGAGAAACCACAGTGCTGCGCACATAGTAGACATGTATAATAAATGCTTGTTAACGTGAAAAATTCCTATTTTTTGGTACGGTCAACAAAATTAAGCTAAATATAAGAAAACAGGAATTATGAATTCTTAAGTGCTATAATTTGTCTTTTAATACTTTCCCATTGATCTCTCTTCTCATGGTTCATAGGGTTCTCTTTACTTCAACACTCATTTTCCTCACTCTCTTGTACTGTCTCCATTCCCAAAAAAGCTGGACTATTTTCTCTCATGGATTTGAAGGATTCACCATGCCAGAAGAAATAATGATATGTAAACTTTAAGGAAATAAGTAAGCCCAGATAATAATAGCTAGCATTTTTTGTTGTTTAATTGTATCTGACCTCAATCATATGTGACTCCATTTGGGGTTTTCTTGGCAAAGACATGGGAGTGGTTCGTCATTTCTTTTTCCAGCTCATTTTACAGATGAGGAAGGAAACTGAGGCAAATAAGGCTAAATGACTTACTCAGGGTTACACAGCTGGTAAGTAATAGGTATCTAACGCCAGATTTGAACTTAAGAAGATGAATCTTCTTGACCACAGGTCCAGCACTCTTATCTACTGCGCCACCTAGTTGACACTAGCATTTACATAGCCCCTAAAGGTTTGCAACACCCCCTGAATCACTGCCTTTTTGTGGCGAGGGGCTTGCACAGCTCAATGAAACTATGAGCTATGCCATGCAAGGTTATCCAAGATGGACAAGTCATAGGGGAGAGTTCTGGCAAAAAGTGACTCACTGGAAAAGGAAATGGCAAACTACTCTAGTATCTTTACGAAGAAGATCCCATAGACAGTATTAAAATGATAAAAGAGATGATATTGGAAGATAAACCCCTCAGGTCATAAAGTATACAAAATACTACTGGGGAAGAGCAGAGGACAATCACAAGTAGCTCCAGTACTAAAAAAAAAATGGTTGGGTCAAAGTCAAAAGGAAACAGCTGCAAATAGATCTGGTAACCTAAGGAAAGTTTAATTCTGTAAAGATCAATATTGCATAAGAACCTGGAATATAAGGTTTACATTAAACTCGTGACAAGCAATATTACCTTAGTAGGAACCCAGTGCTGTCACAAAGGCTGGATTCGAATCACACCTCTGACGACTATGTAGTTGGAAAGATCACTTAACCTTTGTTAGCCTCTGTTTTCTCATCTTTAAAACGGTAGTACCTACTCTCATATGTTTATTGTGAGGTTCAAATGATAGAACGTAGGCTAAAGCATTTTGCAAACTTTTCAGCGCTCTACATATCAGTTCAGCATTGCCTTCTCAATATGCCTGACAAAACATGGTACAGAACAGATGCTAAAAAATGGAAAAATAAGAGTAAATATAAATACCACACCTACACACACCACGGGTACAAATAAGTGAGATAGCTTTTGCTTTCAAAAAGCTGACATTCTGTTGGGGGATATAACATGTTCAGAAATAGAAACTGAACACACACAAAATGGACACAGAGTGAGTGGGATGTGGGGCACTAATAACTGTGTCAATTAAAAAGGCCTATCAAAGGTAGTGAAATTTGTGCTAAGCTTCAAATATGCACATTACTGCAAAAAACAGTTTTTCCCTTTGAGAAAGCCATTAAAATTCCCTAAGAGGCAGGTTAGTGTGGTTAGTTAGCTTGCAGAAGTTCAAGACACCTCCATTCTTCTAGTTCTGGTTCTGCCATTCACTAACAGAGATTTGGATATCAGTTTCCTCCAATGGAGGTTGGACTATGTAATTTTTAAAGCCTCTTCTGGCTTAAATTAAGATTCTATAATCCTAAACATTTGGGGGGGAAGCTTTCAAACCCAAGGGCAACAACTACTTGGGTAAGGCTTCCCTATTCAACAAAACACTAACCAAAATGAGATCAAGGTAAATAATCTCCACATTAAAACTCCAATTCTCAAACTCACACTGGTCAAATATACAATTTTTCTTAGCAGATTCACAGAAATGTAATTTTGATTTGGGGTATACTAATGAGTTTCAATACCTGTGACCATTCTATTTTTGGTTTTTTGTTAACAGAAACAATTCAAAATGGCCTGGATATGACTAAATATGAATTCTCAGGATATGAATTCTGTCCTAGTATGCTAATGTTAACAGAAAAAAAGTTTAAATTCTAGTCTACTTAGAGTTCTTTTAGTTTTGCTAAGTGCAGCAATAATATACTGCAGTGAGAGACAAAAACAGGGATTGGAAATCATCAAAATAAGTAATTCCAGGATGAAGAAACACCTTCTACCAATGCATATTGGCACCTTCTCTACAATTTATAGTCGTAAAGACCTATAGATGGAAATATAGTAGTTTAAAAAAACCCGCTAGTAATGCTTGCAAGAGGGACAAAGGTAGGGGAAACAGGTAAGTATAGGAAGATAAACAAGCATTTATTAAGCCCCCTTTAAGTGCCAGGCACTGGAGATAAAAAATTATAAATTAAACAGCTCTCATCTATGTCAAGATTGAAGCCCAACCAACTTTAAAAAAATAAAGAGGACAGTGATATATATGTATACACTGGGCCTACATGCTCATTTTAAGACCATATTATAATAAGGTAATATGAGATAAGGTAAAAAGGTAATTAAAGCTCTCAGCACAGTGTCTGGCACGTAGTAAATGCTATATGAATGTTAGCTATCATTATTATTATGCCTTATTATCTGTCCTATGTATGGAATACATCATTTCATAGAGTTTAGACCAGGAATATCTTAGATGTCATCTAGGCCTAAGGATTTTTAACCTGGGATCTGAGAACTTGTTTTTAAAATATGTATTTTTTATGACAGCATTTCAATACAATTGGTTTCCTTTGTAACTCTTTGTATATTATTTTATGCATTTACATACATTCTGAAAAGTTTCATCAATCAGACTGTCAAAAGTTTCAACACAAAAAAAGGTTAAGATCCCCTTCTCTAGATAAAACTCTCTCATTTTATGGAAGAAGAAACCAAGGTCTAGACAGCTGAAATGACTGTACTCACAGTTTATAAGGAGAAATAACATGTACACACATGTTATAAGGAATAGGAATAGGGACTGGACCTGTGGTTAAACTGATATAAAGAATTACCAGATGAAGAAACTCCCTCCATCAATTCAGTTGGAAATCTCTACAATTTACCAGCCCTGAGGTTTACAACCTTTTTTGTGTCATGGACCCCACTCTGGTAGTCTAGCAAAGCCTCTGGACTCAGAAAAATGTTTTTAGATGCATAAAAGACATAAGATTACAATGGAAGCCAGTTATACTGATATATGGTTAACAATTTTTTTAAGTTTACAAGTTGGGTTTTTTGGTTTGTTTTCAAAAGTTCTTAAAAAAAAACAACTCCTGTTTTGCAGAGTTGCCTGGAACACAGAGAGGTCCCAAGGTCCCAGATACAGTACATGTCAGAAGTGGGAACTGAAACGATTTATTCCAAGAACACACACAAGCACAAGATGTCTCCAAAGCTTAAAACCGCACTAAGACTTCTGGGGTACATTGTGTATATATATATATAATATGTGAAAAATAAATAAATTCAAGGTGATGTGGGGGAGAAGTGATGATGTCAGGAAAATAATAACGTCACAGACACCAGACTGGGATAGCCGCTCTCTCTTGCGCACTTTTCACACTCAGTTCTGCACATCTCTCCTCACCGCGGGGCAAAGACAAGGAAGCACTGGCGCCCGAGTCTCGCCATCCTCTCTCCCGCTTCTGGAATGTGGGATGGTAGAGAAGTATCCCGGACCGGCCCGACGAAGGAAACGACACAGGCAGGAGAACGGGTCGGGGAGGCAGCCGAGGCTACGGCAAAGGGAAGAGCTAGCGCTGCCCCGCCGGCGGAGCAGGGCTCCGGGCCGGTGAGATGGAGCCATCGATCCCGCCACCGCAGCTGACAGACAGGGGATGCCCGTGCGGGAGGACGCAGGTCGCCGAGGAGTGAGTGACAGGACCCGCGGGGGTGGAGATCCTCTCACAAAGGAGGACGAGGGCGTGCGGACCAGCGGTGCGGGAGCGCAGGGCGCTGGGGTCCAGGCCGAGAGCGCTGCTCGCCCCCTCCCCGCGGCTCCCTGTCCCCCATCCCCAGTGGGAGGTTTCTCCCTCTCTCCTCAATCACCCTCCTTCCCAAGACCCGCATCGACCCCCCCACCCACCCAATTCGCGAGAGGATAAACCCAAGCTCTGGGCCCGGCACACGAGGCAGCCGGCTCCGCGCGCGTCCGTCGGTCCCTCCAGCCTTACCAGGTGCCGGGCGCTCCAACTACAGCTCCTCAGAGCCCTCGCTGCCGCCATCTTAGTCCGGAAACAGCAGCTCCTGCTCCACGTCGGGGGCCTCCTCCAAGTGGCATCTTAGGAAGGGGTGAGGAAGCGAGCCTCCCCCTGGACAGCCAATCAGGAGAGGGAGCGGAAGCCTCCCCTGGAGCGACCAATAGGAAGGCCAGGGTGGGGCCTGAGGTAAATACTGGGGAGCGTGGGGGGTGGGGAATGAGGGATGGACCAGGCCGGGGGGCTGTCTAGGTGAGGAACGGTTCAACAACCGGTCAACATTCAACACGCATTCCTTGTCCCCTTCTAAAGTGTGTGTGTGCGTGTGTGTGTGTGTGCGTGCGCGCACGCCAAGGCAGTCAGTTATTCCATAAAAATTTATTTTAAGCGCCTTTTAAGTGCTGGGCACTATGCTATGCAATGGGGATACAAAAAGAGGCAAAAAGCAGCCCCTGCCCTCAAGGAGCTTACAATCTAATGGGGGACCACATGCAAACAAGTACATTCAAAGCAAACTATATACAGGATAAATAAGTAATAATTGACAGAGGGAAGGTACTAGAATGAAGAAGGGTTGGGGAAGGCTTCCAGTTGAAGATGAGATCTTAGTTGAGTGGGAAAGGCACAGGAAAGAGCAGTTCAGCAACTAGAGTCAGTAGTCAAAGCAGAGGAGGGAAGGGTTCCAGGAAAGAGAAAGTCAGAGAAAATGCCAGGAGTCTACAGATGGAGAGTTTTGCTCCTGAAACAACCAGGCCAATGGCATTGAATAAAGAGTACAAAGAGAGGAAGGTGGGGTTATGAAGAGCTTTAAATGCCAGAGAATTTTATATTTGTTCTTGATGGCTATAGGAAGCATCTGGATTTTTTGAATGGGGGAGAGGGAGGCATTCTGTCAGACACACACTTTAGGAAAATGACTTTGGTGTCTGAATGGAGAAGGGATTGGAGTGGGGAGAGACTTGAGACAGGCAGACCTATCAGCCGGCTGTTGCAGTTGTGTAAGTGTGAGGTGATAAGGGCCTGCACCAGAGTGATGGCTGTGCTAGAGGAAAGAAAGGGGTATATTGGAGGGATGTTGCAAAGGGTAAGTGGACAGATCTTGGCAATTAGATTGTATGCGTGAGTGAGTGAGGAGTCGAGAATGACACCTAGGTTGTGAGCCTGGGGGATTGGGAGGATGGTGGTGCCCTCTGCAGTAATGTGTGCGTAGAAAGGTGACAAAGTTTATCCTTTTATACTAAAATGCTGAGAGGGATTTGAGTTGTTAAGCCAGTGTCTCACTTCTGACACTGCTTGGGCCAGTCACTTAACCTCTCAGTAGCCCAAGCACTAAGACTGTAAATTTCAAAATAGCTGCTGATATGCATTGGTAGAGGCAGTTTCCTCACTGGGAGTCCTCTATACCGATGAAATTGTAGGTCTGAAAAGGGGAGGGGGAGGGATTAAAGCAATAAATCTTATAATAACCAATTCAGTTCAATTCAGCAAGCATTTAACACTAGAAGGACCAAGAGTGTCCATTGACACCAAAAAAAATTTATTATGGTTTTACTTTGGGATAAAAATTTTCATCCTATTTCATTTTTTCCTTGATAAAAAAAATAAGTGTGCATGTCAAGTGACTCAGCTTAAGAGCCATTTTTATATACTAGATGAGGATACAAATACAAAATCCAATTCCTTGCCCTAAATAGGGCTTATATTCTACTGGTGGAAGTAAAATATATACACAGAGAAGTTAATATGGAGTATAGGCAAAGTAAATACAAAGCAAAATTCATAAGTCATATGGATCCACAAGCACATTTGTTTTATTTTCTCCTTAGAAGCTGAGTGGCATAATACAAGGTATCCCAAAAGACCTTTGAAGCTATGCTTTAAAACTGCATTGACTATTGGGACACCTTGTACCTCAAGTACAAGTCTTGAAATCAGAAAGACCTGGGTTCAGATCACCCTTTTGACATGTTAACATTAGAACATATCTAAGAAGTCACATGCCCACAGGCCAATTGGTGGAGGGAATTCCCCAGCCTAATAAATCACAAAGCCTTCCTATATTTCTTTCTTATGTTGTAATCTCTTTGTGAGCAGAGACTGTATTATTGTATGCCCTGTTTTTTACATTTTCACATTCTATAATGCCTACCTGGCATTTTTTGCTGATGTTTACTAACATGACCAGCTCAGCAGCCAGTCCAGCCTTTTTATTTCTTCCTTCTATGTACAGTCTCATCCCCATAATTAACTTTTTATTTTCTAATCCAGAAAAAGCATGAGTGTCTGCATCCTATAAGGCAACATAAGAGTCTACCCTACCTCCTTTGAACATTTCTTTGAGAATGTCTGACGATGCTGAGCTGTTTGAGACAGCTAGGTATTTCAGTGGATATAGAGTCAGAGAGCCATGAGTTCAAATTTATCTCAGATACTTACTAGCTGTGTGACCCTGGATAAGTCACTTTACTTCTATGCTTCAGTTTCCTCAACTGTAAAATGAGGATCATCATAGCACCTAATTCCTACAGTTGTTATGAAGATCAAATGAGATAATATTTGTAAAGTGTTAGCATGGTGCCTGGCATGTAGTAGATGCTTAATTAATGCTGGTTCCCTTTGCTGTTGAAGAGATAATAGAATTACACATGCCATCCCTAACATAATCATAACTGATTCTCCCTTTGGACAAAGAGGCCAGGTTAAGTTTGTGGAATGGGAAAGGCACAGGAAATATTTGGAGCAGTTCAATAACTAGAGTCAGTGCCAAAGACCACCACAGCTGAGTGTAACCTTAGTTGAATTTGGTAATGAGACCTGTTTGGTCCAGCCCAGCTGTAAATTGATGCATTAGCCATGTCAGCCCCTCAAGCTGATCATGGGAGCAATGTTATCTGAGAAGTAAACATGGTGGGGACTCTCCTAAGAGAGAAAAGGATTACCCAGGCCAGGAGGTACACCTTGGCCACATATGTTTTCTAAATGGATGCTTCTCTACCTTTATTCTTTAAGTTTGATCTCACTTTCCCTAGTGTCTTCAGAGGTGAGAGTGCACCCTCAGTTTGAGGAACATTTTTGTAACTTTTGTCCTTGTTATACTTTCTCAGGAAATGTCTCTTTGTAAAAGTTAATTAATATCAACTGGCTCATTGGTGTTATGGAACAAATCAGGGGGCTCATGAGCAGCAATATTAGAAACTCCAACCCTTCAGAGTTACCACTCGTGTCTGAGGGGTAGTCAGTCACTCTCTGAAGGCTCAATCTAGTAATGCTAGTGGAACTTGGAGGAAATAGCTCCAGAGAGAATGCTACATAATATGGAAGAGAATAACATGGTATGTGATTAGAAAGACAGTATGGCATCAGATTGTGAGGAGCCTAAATGCCATACTAAGGAGGCTGAACTTTATTCAGTACTGCAATAAGCACCTTTGCATTGAGCACAGGAGTAACTTGGCCAGATGAATACAAAAGGAGAAAAGAATCAGAAAGATGAATTAGGAAGCTAGTAGGACATGATCAAGTCAAGTTATTCTTTTGCATAAAAATCTTCTTTTGTTGCTGAGTCATTTCAGTCCTAACTCTTTGTGATCCCATTTGGAGTTTTCTTAGCAAAGATATTAGAGTAGTTTACCACTGCCTTCTCCATTTCACTTTACAAATGAGGAAACTGAGGTAAACAGGGTTAAATGACTTGCTCAGGGTCACACAGATAGTAAGTGTCTGAGGTCAGATTTGAAACCAGAAAGATGAGTTTTCCTATCTCCAAGCCTGGCACTTTATCTACTGTGCCATCTAGCTGCCCTATAAAAAAAAATCTTACTAGCTTCCTATTGACCATTAAGTTAAAGTCAAATTCCTTTAGAAATACCTAGGACATACTAGGGAGCTTAATATAGGTACATAATTTGTTTTTTTTCTTTAAAGGTCAGGGTAATTTATTATATGGGTTCACAGTGTCCTGTTACCCTGCTATTTTGGAGAGTTTAATTATGCCAATGATTAATTAATGGAAATCAATAAACTCAGAGCCCCCAGATTAGGAAACTTTTTCTTTCCCTCATCACTAAGCAAAGAATGGTCCCTCGGTTCTATATAATACACTTTGGAAAATTCCCCTCTAATCTCTGTGTTGCGACTTTTTACCCACACCTTCTATGGTAAATACTCATTGTCCTTATCTGAAGATAAAACCCATCATAAAAATACAAACAGATTCTGGGTCACAGGACTAACACGATGAGGGACTAGACATTTTTTCCTATCCTCATGACTTCAAAAACCTCTTCAAAATAAGAATTATGTGACAGAGATAAAGCAATTTCTGCTTACTCCATGTTGTAGAAACTAAGAACCCAAAGAAGGCAAAAACTCCATGAACTAATAGCAGAGAAGTTCAATAATCCATAACCCCTAAATTGTATTCATTTAATACCTTCCCCCTACTACCCACTATTCTCTGAGAAACAGGTTGCAAAAGCAAACCTATGGGCTTTCAAGAGAACTCAATTCTATACTATAACCCCCACATCTACCACCATCCAGTGTTATGGATAGCCAAACTCCAAATGGCAGAAATTAGCTTAAGCTTGCAATGCTGTATGCCACAGAGTCAGTCAAAGAGTAGAGAAATAGAGGGAATGGAAGCAGATCATTTGTTCATGCGCTACCAGACACCTGCCCATCCTATCCCCAACTCTTCTCAGGGTCCTGGAAACCCAGACTCCAAACAGCAGAAATTTGCTCAGTATCTGATCGTGTGATAGCACTCTGGGCCATGGAGATAGAGAACTGAGGACAGAGGGAAAGGGGGCAACATATTTGTGGCATTCCACTGAGTCTGAGGGAAACAGCCCAGCATCTAGCTGGAGCAAGTTCTGTCCCACTTGGGCCAGTAATGGTGAACTGTGAATTTCCCTGAAAAGACAATTAGAAAGTTGGAAGGAGGCTAAGATTCTTTGAGACGCAGCTCCAAAGGAAATCACCATTTAAAAAAGGAGTCAGAAAGTAAGCAACAAGAATAAATAAGGAAAAAAGCTTGAAATTACCAAAGATCTCATGAGGCA